CTAGGCTAACATCTGTGCCCATCTTCCTCTACTTTATATGGGACGCCGCCACAGCATGGCCAGACAAGCAGTGCGTCGGTGCGGGCCCAGGACCCCAACCCGCCCCGCCAGTAGCAGAGTGCGCGCACTTAACCGCTAACCCACGGGGCCGGCCCCATAGTAAATTTCTTAATGATGACACTTAAAAGAATTCTATTCTCTGAATTTAAATATTTCTGAGTACACCACAAAATACCAAGGAACAGAGATACACATGTTGCTAAGGAGCAACTTTGCCAAGTTTTTTCCTTAAAATTTAATAATAAACTATAGAAAAGGGAAGCAATTAGAAAATGTGATTTAGCTATCATTAATCCACATCAAAGGATTATAATCATGCACATTGTGTGCCTTTCAAATTATTCTCTATTATAGGTTTCACAACAGAAGTTGAGAAATCTCTTTGACAAACTAGTCCCTTATTAAAAATCAAAGGAAAGTACTTTGCTACCATCTGTGCAACATTAACGCCTTCACTGAAGAATGATTATTTTGTAAGTTAAGAAGTATTCAGTTCTATTTAAAAAAAACAACAGCAACACAGCTATTCAAACGCTCATCTTCGTCTATTATAAAAGTCACAGCATATATGAAACACTATGTAATTCGCTACAGAAAGACCAGCATCTCTCCTGAAACCAGAAAAGGAAATTGTGATGCTATGAAAGCATAATCAACGCATTTTTTTAAATGTCACCAACACCAACATATGCTTCACAGAATCTGACCAGCACCTGTAAGGTCTGATTTAATATGATGGGGGCAGGAGAAAATAAAAACTTTCAAACTTAACTCCACTAGTAGAAAGCAGATTATCTTACAAAGGATAAGGTAAAATTATCCATAAATGGTTGTCAGAAAAATCATGACAGACAATCTCTTCTCTTTAAAGCACACTGAATCAAGAAAAATCTGTTCAAGTATTTAGAAGCTCGTTTTAGAAAGTATTACTATAAATCAGGCTTCTTATTGCCAGGGTACCATACACTATGTCCACGATTTGACAAGTTCTTCCTAATTACCCAACTAAATTACAGTAATTATATATTTTATAGTAAATGCAAGTAACAAGGTTCATTTGGAAGATAAATTGTGAACTACAGAGTTTTTTTAAAAAAAATAGAGAAAACGGGAAAGATGTCCAACCATTCCACTTCATTCCTCATCTTCAACACTTGGCCATTTAACAGAACCATAAGATTTTGGAGCTGGACCTCAGGGATCACTTAATCTAATACCCTTATTTTATAATGAGATCCTTTTCCAGTTTCCTCATTATAAAGAGGATCAGTCATTATTTGTCCCCAACTATTAGCTTCCTCTCGCATTCACCTAGTTCACCTTATACCATTTTAGTTTTACAAGTACTTGCTACATAATAAACTAAGATAAAGGACTGCATAAAATACACTGAATAGTTAAACTATAAAGAAACAAAGGGAAATACCCCAAAAACCCTCAAATGCCTTTCAAGGCTAGTTTGTCTTGGGGGGCCTCAGGAGGAAAAGTTGATGACAGTGAAACTTAAATAAAAAAAGCTTTGCACCATGGAAATTACAGACGTGGATAGAAATTTATATTTCAATATGTTTATACTCTAGATTTATTATCATCTTCTATAAAAATAGCAAAGGAGGATGCTACCATTATAAAATGAATTGTTGAAACCAAAACCTAAGAATTTGTTTTAAAATAGTTTTAATTAAGTTTGGTCTCTGGGATATAAATTAGTCTTAGCACTGGCAATTTTTCTCCAACTCAATTCAACAAATACAATGAATGCCTATACTTCTAACAAAAGCATTGTGCTAAATGATAAAACAATAAGCAAGAACTAACAATATGACTGCCCTGCATAACCCAGGTCCTCAATTTCCTCATCTATAGAATAGAGGGATTAAAGATGACTTTCCAGCTCCTCAAATTCTTATTATATGTTATCCAAACCGTGAAATTTCAATTCATCTTTAAATAACCAAAATGGTGAAGCCAGCACTGCTAAAGTATGGTAACTAATGTAATTATTACTCATCATAATAAGGAAAATGAACACAAAATGGCCTTTGGAAAATGAAGCACCATAATTCTCTCCCCAGACTCCACCTCTACTCTAGATGAGAAAGACAGCATTCCAAAAGGCCTCAGGTCCTACACAAACACTTGTTCTAAACTCAGTTTTCCTAAATATCTTTTTTAATGATGACATATTAAGGTATTTCATATTTCATGCTCCACAAAATATGAAAACCATACTGATGATTCAAACATCACCAACTACAGTAAAATTTCCTGAGCCGTCGTCTAATTCTTCTTTACACCCCATGGTACTCCACACCCCAGTATCCCATAATCGACTACAGTCAACCCATCAAAAGTTCCTCTGCTCCATCATTAAAAATGTCACATCATGGGGGCCGGCCTGGTGGCGTAGGGGTTAAGTTCCCGCGCTCCACTTGAGTGCCCCAGGGTTCACAGGTTCCAATCCCAGGTGCGGACTTAGGCACTGCTTATCAAGCCACGTGTGGCAGCATCCCATATTCAAAATAGAGAAAGACTGGCACAGATGTTAGCTCAAGGCTAATCTTCCTCAGCAAAAAGAGGAAACTTGGCAACAGATGTTAGCTCAGGGCCAATCTTCCTCACAAAAAAAAAAAAAATGCCCCATCACGGGGCTGGCCCTGTGGCATAGTGGTTAAACCCCAGCATGCTCCACTTCAGCGGCCTGGGTTTGCGGGTTTGGATCCCGTGTGTGGACCTACACACTGCACATCAAGCCATGCTGTGGTGGCCACCCACATAAAAAATTGAGGAGGATTGGCACAGAGGTTAGCTCAGGGCTAGTCTTCCTTAACACCCCTCCCCCCAAAAAAAGAGCAAAATTGGCAACAGATGTTAGTTCAGAGTGAATCTTCCTCACTAAAAAAAAAAAAAAGTCACATTATGATGACACATGGTTACAAGTCTTATCAGGGTGATCATTTTATAAGGTATAAATAAATGTGGAATCACTATGTTGTACCCCTGAAACTAATACAATATTGCATGGCAACTATACTTGAATTAAAAAAAAGTCACATTACTTGTTATGGGTTAAATTGTGTCCCTCCCAAAATTCATATACTGAAGTCCTAACCCTCAGTACCTCATAATATGACCTTATTTGGAAATAGGGTCATTACAGATGTAATTAGTAAAGATGAGTAAGGTGGGACTCTAATCCAATGTGAACGGTGTTCTCACAAAAAGTGGAAATTTGACACAAACATGCATACAGGGAGAACGTGTGTGAACATGAAGACCGCCATCTATAAGCCAAAGAGAGACGCAGGGAACACATCCTTCTCTCACAGACCTCCAAGTAACCAATCTTACCCACACTTCAATTTAGGACTTCCAGCCTCCAGAACTGTGAGACAATAAATTTCTGTTGCTTAAGCCACCCATCTGTGGTCCTTTGTTATGGCAGCCCTAACAAGCTAACATATTACTATACAGAAACTGAGGAAGAATCAAATCAGAACATCACGACAGCCACAAAGCAGCACCCCAAATTTCAATGCATGTTCCAACACTCCCAACAGACCACACATCTTTAAGAACCTGATGAAAGCCACTTTCACACAGACATGATCTCTTTCATATTGTACACTTAACTCTGGAGGCTTACTAATCCTCCCCCCCACCCCCAACCAACAATGCCCAAGACGCGTGGACTCCTGATTGAGAATTCCTGCTTTCATCAATGGCATCTGAGTGTGTGTTTGGGGAGAGGGGGAGAAGCCAGATCACAAACCAATCTTTTTAACTAGAAAATAAACACTATCAGCACTGTCCTTGAGAAAGAAGGAAAAGAATACAGATGAACTAATAATAAAACTTTTCCTCATTGTACTCTTAAAGAGGTTTACAAGGGTACTTGTTAAAATATGTGTGTGTATAATTACATCGGAAAATAAGTAAAACTTTATCACTATAGCACATTTTATCATAAAAGAATGGAGTCTAATACAATAATCAGATAACTAGACGAAGAAAACTTTTCATAGATGGACGATGATTGAAATTCTTCTTAAAAACAAGGACCTGGTCAATAAGACGCACAGTATTTGCCTTGTTTCTTTCTCTTGTCCCATCAACTCCACCTTTAGTAACTGACAATAATACATCATGTCAGAAACCTAAGATCAAAAGATTTAAAAACATAAATCCAACCATTCTATATGAGCATTACCAACCATTCATGGCATCCTGCCAGTCAAGGAAAGGTTCTTCTATAAACACAAGCTAAAATGACGTGATCTGGTCAAGAAAAAGGCAATTCTAATATGTAATTATGAAGATTCAAAACACCTTAGTTTCTTTCCACAGCTAATTAATTCTCAGCAGAAAGCACAACAGGAAGATATATAGTTAATATACAGTCTAAGAACAATTTGAAAAACATTAACCCCCATTTAAATAGAAAAGAAAATGAATATTAGAATTTTGCTCTTTCAAAATGTGTTAATTAATTCAGTCTAGAAAAGTGATCCACGAAAGGTTGTATTCTATCTTGTAAAGTATACTTAAGTGAGTTTAAGGACAAAATCACTATTATTAAGGACAAAATCACTATTCCACATATGTTACACAGAAACTATCACAACTGTAAAAAGCAGACAGTGTAGGTGGGGAAAGTCTCTGGGCTGACAATCAGAAGAAATGGGCTCCATTTCTCCCGCCTCTGGTACTAACTACCTGTGTGACTTGAGCCAAGATCATTTAACCCCTCTGGACCCTGGTTCCTCATCTATAAAATAAGAGAGTCAGACTTAATTATCTCTAGGGTATCTGTCACTGCTCAAAATCATTCCAAATACTATAAATCTTAAAATCTGAAATATGTCATTCATATTTTACACACTTTCTGTGATCAATATGAATTCATCAGTTATTTAACAAGAGAGACTGATATTGCTCACCTGAAAGCTCGTGGTCGTGCAGCAAATTCCGAAGCTTACTACAGAGCTGGATCATGCTGTCCAATTGTCTATTTATCTTCACATCCTGTATCCAGGCCGGGGTATAACACACTGGACATCCAGTTCCAATGCAGTCACTCACACAGTTACTTAAAAAGGAGTAAAAATATACATATTTACCAACACACGCAGCAGAATCTGAATTCCAAAAAATAAACAGAGTTTGAACAGAGGTCAATGAAGAGTCTGTTCTAACAAACAATGGTCAATAATAAAGTATTTGTTAAAATAACGTTTTTGAAAGAGTATGATACACACACACAAATCTAAATCTAAAATAGTTTATGTAATTTGCTATGAAGAAACTTAGCCAAACATTAGTCTACGTAATCTTTCCCTGCAAGTAAATCTATAGCTTCTGAAGGGTGAGAGTACAGAGGAAGATATAAACAAACACAGTACCTAATTCGTAGCAGCCATGCAGCTCGACCTATCCCATCCTAGACCTTCACACTGTGCCTCATGGAAACACCTAAAATTACTGCAGAGAGACTGGGAAAGTCTTTTGTTTTGTTTTTGGACAAGTGTCTAAAGGCCTTCAAATAGTTTTTGAGAAAAGATCTTTGATTCTTTCAGACGCTTTTATAACCTGTAGACTCAATTAAATTACCTCGGGTTATTTGTCCAGGAGTTACAGTCTCATAGTTAGAAGGGTTTTCCTAACTTTGGGGTTACAAGCCCTTTGCAAATGTGATGAAGATATACACAGGCTGTCGTAACAAAAGGGGTTCACAACCCCCCCAAATCCTATTTGTGAATTCTGAAATAAGAAACCTACAAACCCACCCCTTCTTCAGCCTCATGAGGTGGGCTCCAGCAGGACTGAGTAATGTGACCATCGTAGAAGCCACATCCCTCTCAAACACTACACTCCTTCCCACGTGACCCACTCATCTGTAGGCACGGAGGATTCTTACAATATGAGCTTCCTTCAGAAAATGCCTGTGGCATTTGTAATCTTTGTATCCTTAGATCCTGGCGTAATTCCCGACACAAAGGAACTGAATAAAGGTTGTAAAATGAATCTGTTTACCACACTGGGGCTAGGAGAGACCTTCCAGATCACTGGGTTCAATAAACGTCAACTTTCTTCAGCAAAGGAATCTTTGAGTTTGCCTGCTCATAGTCAAGAATTTTTAACATGGAACCCCAACATATAAAATAGGTAAACTGATTCACCATGGATTTAAATCATCAATTGTCATGCGACCACTTAATTATTTGAGGAACACTAGTGAAACAGAGTCAAGATCCCCTCATTGAGAACAACTACCTCATTTTCAGATGAAGAAAATGAGATCTAGTTAATTAGGATACCCAGCACCACACTAGTTCTCAGATCAGTCTATTTTATATATTCTATAATGCTTGTTTATAACTGTTCTCAAATGATTTTATATACGTTAATCCAGAATTCTGGGGAAACATGTCATTTGTCAATAGATCTGCATAACTCAGTGAACCAATATTTTCCAAATGACCAATGCACAATGTCATAAAATCATGCCAGGTAAAAGATCCATTCACAGTACAGGATAAATAAACAGAATTTAATGGAACAGAGTACAAAAGGTTCATTGATACGATTTTAGATTTCATACTTTAACAAATCTAAAGAAACTGGCACTTGACAAGTGGTGGTACAGTATCAAAGATGAATAGCCATAATTCTCTAAAAGCGCTATTAAAACATTCCTTTTGCAGGGTCGGCCCGGATCCCGGGTGCACAGTGACGCACCGCTTGGCAAGCCATGCTATGGCGGCGTCCCATATAAAGTGGAGGAAGATGGGCACAGATGTTAGCCCAGGGCCAGTCTTCTTCAGCAAAAAGAGGAGGATTGGCAGATGTTAGCTCAGGGCCAGTCTTCCTCACAAAAAAAAAAAAAATTCCTTTTCCAAATATAGATATGTCTAAGACCAGATTTTCTTCACATACTTCGATCAAAACATCACAACATATTGAACACATAAGCAGATATGAGAATCTAGCTATCCTTAATTTAGCAAGTCTATAGAGAGAATTGTAAAACTGTAAAACAGTGCTACTTTTGTATTTTTTGTTTGGTTTGTAAAATATTTATTTTTCCTAAAAGTATTATTTATGTTAGTATGTAAAGGGCTTATTATTGTTATTTTTAAATGAATTAGTATTTTTTAAATGTCTGTTTTATATGGTAAATACATACACACACACACACACACACACACACACACACACAAGCTTTTTGGGGTCCTCAGTTTTTAGAAGTGTAAAGTTGTCTGAGACCAAAAAGTTTGTAGTTCCCCTGCCATATGTCTTAAATGACTTCTATCTTAGAGAGAGTACATGCACCACTTTTATCAGGGATTGGCATGAAAGTACCTGAAACCACCACCACACCGTCGGTGACATAAAGGTCTGTGCCCCTCCAACCTCCCCGCACTTCTATGCTTCAGTTAGATTGGGATATAGCGAAACCATTTTTTAAAACCGCCTGGTATTTACGGATTTCCTCCAAATCTGCCAAGAATACAAACAGCTGCCCTAACCTTTGGCATCATATAGTCAAAATGAACCGAAACTGCACTGGATCGATTTCCTGTGTTCATGTCATACAGAGATGATCGTTTTCTCTTTTAAGACATCCTCATGCCTTTCTTCATCTCTCTTTGGCCATTGTAAGTCACAGACCCCTCTAGCCAATTAAAGGTATACATCGCGCTCTCTCTCTCTCCCTCTCTCTCACACACACACACACACACACACTTTACATATACTTTCATGGAGTTTGTTAGGTCCAGCAGCTCTGTCACTGATCTATTACATATAGCAAGTGCATCAGCTGAAACAAAATAAATGTGCCTGCTACAGAGTGGGAACAGGGAGTGGGCATCATTTCACAATGGGATCATGGGAGGCCTTTTGGAGGAGGTGACATGTGAGCTGAGATGTAACTGATGAAAAGTTAGTTTCAGAAAAACTTGGCAGAAGTACATTCCAGATGGAAGAAGTAGCAAGTACAAAGGTCCTGGGGCAGGAGTGAGTTTGATGTATGTAATGAACTAAAAGGAGAAGGTGGCTGGAACGGTGTGAACCAGAGGGAAGTGTGATCTGAGAGGCAGGCAAGAATTAGGGCCTGTACTATTGTAATTGTTTCGGGGCACCACGAATCACACCTGTATAAGACAGTGAACTTAATCAATAAACGTGTGCATTCTGATTGCTCCATCAACTGGTCATTCCCCCATCTCTCTCTCTCTCCTTGGGCCTCCCCATTCCCTGAGACACAACCATATTGAAATTAGGCCAACTAACAACCCTACAACAGCCTCTCAGTGTTCAGGTGAAAGGAAGAGTCCCATGTCTCTCACTTTAAATTGAGAGCTAGAAATGATTAAGCTTAGTGAGGAAGGCATGTCGAAAGCCAAGACAGGCTGAAAGCTAGGCCTCTTGTGCCAAACAGTTAGCCAAGCTGTGAATGCAAAGGAAAAGTTCCTGAAGGAAATTAAAAGTGCTACTCCAGTGAGCACACGAATGATAATAAAGTGAAACAGGCTTACTGCTGATATGGGGAAAGTTGCAGTGGTCTGGACTGAAGAGCAAACCAGCCTCAACATTCCCTTAAGGCAAAGCCTAACCCAGAGCAAGACCTAACTCGCTTCAATTCTCTGAAGGCTGAGAGAGGTGAGGAAGCTGCAGAAGAAAAGTCTGAAGCTACCAGAGGTTGGCTCACGAGGTTTAAGGAAACAAGCCTTCTCCACGACATAAGAGTGCGAGGGGAAGCAGCAAGTGCTGCTGCAGAAGCTGCAGCAAGACATCCAGGAGATCTAGCTGAGATCACTAATGACGGTGGCTACGCTAAACGACAGATTTGCAATGCAGACAAAACAGCCTGATATTGAAAGAAGATGGCATCTAGGACTTTCACAGCTAGAGAGGAGAAGACAATGCCTGGCTGCAAAGCTGCAAAGGACAGGCTGACTCTCTCGTTAGGGCCTAACGCAGCTGGTGACTTTAAGTTGAAGCCAACACTCGTTTACCATTCTCAAAGTCCTAGGGCCCTTAAGAATTAGGAACAACAAAGCCTGGATGACAGCACATCTGTGTACAACACGGTTTACTGAATATTTTATGTCCACTGTTGAGACCTACTGCTCAGAAAAAGATTCCTTTCAAAATATGACTGCTCATTGACAACGCACCTGGTCACGCAAGAGCTCTGATGGAGATGTGCAATGAGATTAATGTTGTTTTAATACCTGCTAACAACATCCATTCTGTAGCCCACAGATCAAGGAGAATTTCGACTTTCAAGTCCTATTACTTAAGAAATATATTTTGTAAGGCTATAGCTGCCACAGATAGTGATTCCTCTGATGGATCTGAGCAAAGTAAATTAAAAACCTTCTGGGGCCGGTCCCGTGGCTTAGGGGTTAAGTGCACGCGCTCTGCTGCTGGCGGCCCAGGTTCGGATCCAGGGCGCACACCGACGCACTGCTTCTCCGGCCATGCTGAGGCCGCCTCCTACATACAGGAACTAGAAGGATGTGCAACTATGACATACAACTGTCTACTGGGGCTTTGGGGAAAAAAATAAATAAATTAAAAAAAAAAAAAAAGAAAGTTCTAAGGCTGTTAAGAAAAAAAAAAAAACCTTCTGGAATGGATTCACTATTCTAGATGTCATTAAGAACATTCATGATTCCTGGAAAGAGGTCAAAATATAAACATTAACAGGAGTTTGGAAGAAGTTGACTCCAACCCTCACGGATGACTTTGAGGGGTTCAAGACTTCAGTGGAGGAAGTAACTGCAGATGTGGTGGAAACAGCAAGAGAACTAGAATTAGAAGCGGAGCCTGAAGATGTGACTGAACTGCTGCAATCTCATGATCAAACTTTAATGGATGAAGAGTTGCATCTTACGGATGAGCCAAGAAAGTGGTTTCCAGAGATGGAATCTACTCCTGGTGAAGATGCTATGAAGATTGTTGAAATGACAAAAAAGGATTTAGAATATGACATAAACTTAGTTGACAAGCAGTGGCAGAGTTTAAGAGGATTGACTCCAATTTTGAAAGAAGTTCTATTGTGGGTAACACCCTATCACACAGCATCGCATGCTGCAGAGAAATCGTTCAGGAAAGAAGAGTCAATTGATGCAGCAAACCTCATGGCTGTCTTATTTTAAGAAATTGCCACAGCCCCCCAGCCTTCAGCAACCACCTCCCTGATCAGTCAGCAGCCGTCCACATCGAGGCAAGACCCTCCACCAGCAAAAAGATTACGACTCACTGAAGGCTCAGATGATGGGTAGCATTTTTTAGCAATAAAGTACTTTAATTAAGGTATGCACATTCTTTTTTTAGACATAACGCTATTGCACAGTTAACAGACTACAGTGCAATATAAACATAACTTTTATATGCACTGAGAAACCAAAAACTTCACGTGACTCACTTTACTTCGATAATCGCTTTATCGCGGTGGTCTGGAACCGAACCCACAGTATCTCCAAGGTGTGCCTGTACGGGGTCTTGTGGACCTCAGTGCAGAGTGTGGATTTTATTCTGATGTAACAGGAAGCCAGTGAAGGATTTTCAGGAGGGTAATGATACGGATGTGATTTACATTCTTAAAAGAACACTGACGAGAATGTGAAAAGGGGGAGGGGACCAGGTATAACTAACTACAACAGTCTGAGGAGAGAGAATATGATGTTGGCCTGGACCAAAGTGTAAACAGCAGTTAAAACACAGAAAAATGGGGAAAATTCAAGATTCAGGGCACATTTTGAGGTGGAACCGACAGAACTTAATGAGGTGAGATAAGAAAAACAGCAGTCAGGTATGCCTTGTGGTTTAGCCTTGAGCCCGCTGCAGTCGGTGGCACCATTTATTGCTATGAAGATGAGCGAGGCAGGCACAGGCTGAAGGGGAGGATGGTCCACAGATCTGCTCTGAGCATATCAAGTCTCAGATGCCTTTTCATCACCCAAATGGAGATGGCAGGGGTACTATTTCCTACCCCATCTTCTGCTGGTATGCCCCATATAACAGACTATATTTCTAGAAACAAAATTGGGGCCCCAAGCACAGCTGCCTCCCACACATCCCCAGCCCACTGAAGTCACACGGTGAATTATGTTCCTGTGTGCCTCAACTTCATGCTGCAGTTTGCTCAGGCCAGGCAGTCACAGTCGTAACTTGAAATAATTAAAAGACTGATTCAAAGGAGGCTATATTAACCTTGTCTCACAGACAATTAAACTAAGACATTCAGTCCTTTAATTGATTTCTCCTGAAGTAAGAAATAGGATGAGATGAAAATCTAATATTCTAACCTGTAAGCCAGGGCTTTCATATTAGAACATGCAATAACTGTTATGGCTTGAATTGTGTCCCCTGAAAAGATGCTGAAGTCTTAACCTCCGGTACCTGTGAATGTGACCTTATTTGGAAATAGGGTCTCTGCAGATGATCAAGTTAAGATAAGATCATCATGGTGAGTCCTGATCCAATATAAGTGGTACTCTTACAAAAAAAGGAAATTTGGACACAGAGACAAACATGCACACAAGGGAGAATGCCATGTGAACACGAAGGCTAAGACCCGAGTGATGTATCTACAAGCCAAGGAACACCAAAGATTGCCAGAAAGCTAAGATTCTCCACCAGAAGGTAGGAGAGATGCATTGAACGGATTCTCCCTCACAGCCCTCAGAGGGAACCAACCCTGCTGACACCCTGCTCTCGGACTTCCAGCCTCCAGAACTGTGAGATAATAAGTTTCTATCGCCCTAAGCCACCCAGTTTTTGGGACTTCGTTATTGCAGCCCTAGGAAACTAATACAATAACTATAAGAACTAGACTTTCATAATTTGGAAAGTCTACATTCAAAACTAAGTGGAAGAATAAAAAAGACATATTTGAATTATACATGTAGATATTAAATTTTTTCCCCCAAGCTTAGCAAAACTATTTACTAAGCTTTGTAACTTTGGACAAGTCATCCTCTTTGAGCTCCTATTTTCTTATTTGTCAATTAAGACAGCTACGCGGAGCAAACTGAGATCATGTACAGTAAGTTACTTTGTAGTTTATGAGAGTTACACAAACATAATGTAATATTATTACCAATATGATTACATGGCTGTGACCTAGTAAAAACATAGTCATACCATATATATATAATTACTTACCTACAGAAGATGTGCTCACATCCTCCTAAACACACAGGCTCCCTCAGAATACTAGTGCTGTTTCAAGAAAAGAAAACAATCAAGATTTAGGTCGTTGTTAGATAAACATTTTATACCCAACATTTCATAAATCCAAGGCCCAACACTGCCATATTTCTCTCTTCCTCAAAGCAGAAATTAAGGATGTATTCGTCCTAGTTAAATATTGTATCATCATACACCTGCTGAATTCAAATAGCAACTACCAAACTCAGTACAAATTGTAACACTTGTTATAATGTATATACTGGGAAGTCACAGAAAGCAGCAATTTTGTTCAAGCATCTCTAAACCTCTTACAGGCAAACCACCCACTGGCTGCTTGTTTCAACTACTAAGATACATCTTCACCTAATGATTCAAAGGGCAGACCATAAATCCCAAAACGAGACCCACAACTAGAATGACCATATAATGTATCATCCAAATAAGAACATTTCTGAGAGTGAAGGGAAGAGATAACTGGAGAGGATGCTGGGACAACAGGTGTAAACCAGGACGGCCCCAGGAAAGTCAGGACATCTGGTCACCTGGACCATAAGAATTTATGGTTTCCCACAAGAAAACATTGGTTTCCGGCTATTGTTAAGTAGCCATCTATTTTTCATAGATGCCTTGTCAAAAATACAGTCATTCTTTCATCAAAATACCTGCTACATTTGATAATCCTAAAAAGGTAATGGTAAATGGTACTTACCCATAAACACATACCAAGTCATTATACTCAGAGGGTGTAACAGCAAGAGCACAGGGGAACCAAAGCTTTTAAAGGATGAACATTTTTTTGTGCTTGGTTTATTACACTAACCCTAGGCCCTTAGGTGTTTACACCATTATTATCCAATTACCTCTGTACACATACTACATATCAATAAAAACAGTTTTCCACATTTCTTGAAAGATCAAAAGTATCACACCGCACATTTTAATAGATATGAACATTAAAGTGAAATTGAGCTTTCAGAAAAAGTGCTGAAAACAGAGTATACACCCACAATGTTATTCTCAAGATACCGAAAATGGTGCTCACTGACATTATAAAACCCATTACTTTTTAAAAACTCACAATATCTGATTTTTCTATCACCCTAAGTAGAACAGAGCGATAAAAAGATGACTTGTGATGTGCCAGCAGCTTTTGTGTTTCTGGCAATTAAGATGATTTCTGTTAGTGTTCATGCTGCTTCTATAATTTCAGTTCATTATTTGACCTACCAAACCTAATCTCTTCTCTCTCAATCAAGTGTGTTGAATTCTACTTCATTACAAGCTCTGTCTCTAAGATCTCAAAAGAGGTGTTATCTCACCTCCTCCTATCAAAATATCCTCCCTCTGTCTCTTTTATTCCATCACCCTGACAAAACCTCCACCTTCTGGTTGCTCTCCACCCTGAGAGAACTCCATTCAGTCCATCAGCTTTTTGGATTCCCTATCCAGCGGACGTCATAGAGTTAACTAGTTCAGGACCATCTTCACCACCATCCTACTTCCTCTGACCTCTTAGATACGCATGGATGCCAATCTATAATGCTGGATAAGCCCCAGAGTCCGCCCCTTCCTTGCCTGCTCTCAGGTTATGAATAACCATTATAAAAAGACAGAAAGGTAAACAAACATGTGTCTAAACATTTATTTGGTAGCTTCTCACCTTTGTACCTCCACCAAAGTGATGTATTAGATGTTCTATGAGGAAACAAACAAATGAATAGATGCTTACTCAAAACCATCTCCAAGCTCCTAAGTCCCATTAACCTTACTGCAGCCAATGGTGTGAGCTTTTCACCATCTTGACTCATTCCTACCTCTTCACCCATAATCTACCCTCTCTCCAGGTTTAGAGGAAAAGACCTCCTTCAGTCATTCTTTCTTCTGAAGATGTGCTGCTTTGTTTGTCCCTAGATCTCACATCTTCTGTCTCCTAACGTAGTCTACTCTCATCATTATGGTCACCTTTCTTCTTCCATCTGCACCTAAAAATGCACAGATAATCTCTCCTTTGACCTAAGAAAACACTTTCCTAGACCATGCCTCCCTCTCTACCTTCTGCCCCAGCTCTTCCCCTTCTTGCAGATACATATAAGTTCTGAAATAAGTGCTCGACACCAGCTAAATCCATCTCCTCACCTGCGAGCCTTAACTCCCACCACTCTGCTGAGACTGCTCTCCAGAGCGTTTTTGGTCCTCATTCTCCTGACGTCTCTGTGAAATAACACTGACCTCACGTTCTCTCCTGAAACTTTTCCTTCCACTGAGTTTTAACTTTCTTATGGCATATTTATCTCCTTATTTCAGCCTTTCCTTAGCTGCTGCTTTTCCTGTCTCTCAATGTAGGCCTACTCCCAGGATACAGTCCACAGCTTTCTGCTTTCTCTGGCAATACCTGACTCAATGCCTTAATTCTCCTGTTTCTAAACTTAAATTTCCTTCCGAAGATGAGTCTGAACCCTTTATCTTCAGTCTGTACCCTTCACCTTAGCAATAAGGTAGTATAGTGTAACTGGCAATGAATCTAATATCTATGAATAACTGATCACTTGCACTAATTATTCTAATTAGTGAGTTAGAATGTATTTTTCGTTGATGTTAATAGATGAAGAAAGACATCAGAAGAGTGAATGAAAAGCACGTGCAGTGTGTGTAGTGGGGGAAGGAGGAGAGAGGAATCTTATAGCTGAAGCTGGGAGAAGGTAGCGCCAACTTCAAAAGAATTTTACTGGGAGCACTCAAAGGGTAGATACACCACACAGAGGGTGGCACTGATCTGTGTCAAAGCCAGACTTTCTGACAATGTCGAGAGCGTAGCTGAGAAGACATACTGGAATAAAAGATTTTTTATTACAACCAGGCAATATCTACCAAAATTGTAAATGCACTCAACTTTAACTCAACTATTCCACTGCCAGGAATTTATCCTTGAGATACACTCGGATGCTTGCAAAACTGAAACTTCAAAACCACAAAAATATGTAGACAAGATACCAAAAGCTTCCAAAGATTAAGAAATAATAAAATTAAAATTTCATATATTTATTTATTTTAAAGGAATCAGAATAGCATAAGACATCTCAAGGGTAACAAAGGATGCTAGGCCTTCAAAATAATGATTGAAAATTATTTTGTACTTCCAATTCTGTATCCAGTCATCTTCCACGGTAAAAAGTTAATAGATAATAAGTAATAAAAAAATTCATCTTTCAGAGTAGGAAGTTAGGAAGTTAATAATGTCTAAATGAAAAAAATCAAGAAATCGCAATAAAAACATATTATTTGGAAATGTAGAAGTAAATGCTTGAAGAAATAAAAAAGATGAAATAGGCTGTGTCTGGAGTATAGAACTCAAGGGTGAGAAAGGATGAGGCAAAAGAATGTCTTCATGACAGTTTTGTCCTATTGACTTTGCCAACTATGTTCATGTGTAATTTTAATAAAAAATTTTAAAAACGTAAAAGAACACGTACAAGGATATTCACTCCAGCACTGCTTATTACGGCAAAAGACTGGAAACAATCTGAACTTTTACCAACAAGGAAACGGTTAAATAAATCACGATACATCTACCCGATGAATAGTATCTTCTTCGGTTAAATAAATCACGATACATCTACCCGATGAATAGTATTTTCTTATCTGAGGTATATCATGCTTATAGAGAGAAACTCTCAAAGGATACACAAGAAAATAGTGGGTGCGTGAAGAAGACGATTCAGACTTACTTATTTAACAAATATTTAATGACCATATACCGTGTTTTAATTCTTTCACATATGTATATATTACTTTCAATTTTTAAAAACTTAATATTAATATTTATTAATTAATCATTAATATTAATTGATATTAATATTTAAAAAGTTAATATTAAAATTTAATATTAAAAGGTACTACAATCTGGTAACTACCAAGCCAGGCAACCTTTCCTCTCACAGCTCAACAAAAACTACGTGCACGGGGCCAGCCTGGTGCCGCAGCAGTTAAGTGCACATGCTCTGTTTCAGAGGCCCGGGGTTCGCAGGTTCGGATCCTGGGCGCACACCAACGCACCGCTTGTCAAGCCATGCTGTGGCGGCATCCCATATAAAGTACAGGAAGATGGGCACGGATGTTAGCCCAGGGCCTATCTTCCTCCGCAAAAAGAGGAGAATTGACATCAGATGTTAGCTCAGGGCTGATCTTCCTCACAGAAAAAAAAAAAAAACTACGTGCGCTTACCAGGCCAGTGTCTGTCACATTTCTCAAATACCCCAGGTCTAATTCCAAGCCCACGACTGCTCAGACTGTTCTTCCCGGCCTAGGATACACTTTCTCCTCCCCAAAAACTATTCAAGCCCAACACATGATCCAAATACTGTACAAGATGGTATAACAAAAAATGATACTAAACAAAAAAGCACAAGAATTCTTGGATTTTAGTTTCCATACCATCACTTATGCAAAATCTGCACTCCGCCCCAGACATGCAGAGAACACAAAGTTACTGTGTTTCACTCTTTCCTAAGGGGCTTACAGTATCGCCAGGTAGTTTTATAAACCAAGTTAACATACGACCTAGGAGAGGTACAAAATGCTCTCAAGTTCCAGAGAGATGGTATCTAGTTGGGGGCTCTGGAAATCAATGTTGAAAACTAAATATTTTATATTTTATCTGCTTGATTCCTTATTTTTTTTATTTTTTTGTCTCAAAATAGATTGAAGCCATACAGACAAGAGATTCTGACTTTCATTTCTGAGCTCCCCAACACACCATCCTAGCATGGTGCTATCCGAACAGCAAGATTTCAATAAGTCCTCAGTGAAGAACCAAATGGAAGACTACATATAGAATTGTTAATATACATGCATTTCTATCTTATCCTTACCCTGTTTTTTGCGTGATATACACATATCTTAGAAAGAAAAAATCCAGAAGAATAAGAAGACATTTGCATGATAACAGGATTTCTGTACCTTGAAAATCCAGCTACTCTTCTTTTTCCCATCTGCAGTCATATTTCTGTTACTGTACACGCAGCTGATTTGGA